GAGATGTCATATCCAGTGCCTCCAACCACAATGCTGCTTACTCATGTGTGAGACACAGGTCAGGAACATTCTAAATGATTTCATAAAATTTCCTGCTGGTACGGTTTCTGTTTTCATGTGTCTAACAAATCCTGTTGTCTAGTTTGGGAATACGCTGTCATTGGTTATCAAACTGATTTTGAAAACTGCTTCAGTTATTTGAGTTCACGGCATTAGATCAAATCACTGCAGCAGGCCAGACACTGTACATTTTTATTGATCTTGTACATCGCATACCAACTTTTTATTGGCTTCACTGCAAGGTCAAAGATTTTTATTCCTACATAATTGACTGGCCACAACACTGCTATGAAAATTCCAACAAAGTTTATTCACGCAAGACGGCTGCATCTTCTACAGTGTTGCCAAAAAGAGAGACAGGCAGCATTACTTTGTGAAGTTTTATTATATTGAGCTGCTGATGGCTGGAGGACAATATGGTTTTGTCTGCCCTGCAGTGAATTTTGGTCTTGGTCAATAATAAAGTATTGGCCACAATATGGAAACTACCATTTCAATAAATAGAATTTCAAGCTTACATCACTTTAATATGGACCCTTTGACAGAAATCAGACCATCATGCAGCTTAAATAGTGGAAAGCTGGCCTAAAATTCAAATTGCACATCGAAAGGCAACCAATCTGGGAAACATTTGGCAAAATATGAAAATTTCTTGGGGACCAATTTAGCCCTAAAACCAGACAGAATCCTTATAATGTCTGTAGGCTTTAACAGAGCTACAACGCAACTGGAAACAAGTCGCATGTTTGATTATCAACAAATCAGTGGTCACTGCAAGTGGTTATTCTGAAATTTCTATAAAGCGTTCTCTTTCTGTGAATGCACATCCAAGAAGTCAAGACTACGAGGCGGAGAGGAGCATCTTCTACAGCTTTCAAAATCACAATTAATCGCTTAAATTTTGAGCATTCTGTTCTTCAAAAACTCAGAAGAAAACTCAGCAAGACAGAATCCTTTTCAAAAAAAATAGAAGGAAAGAAAATGGACTTGTTTCCAGTAACTGCTTGGATTAAGCAAATTAGGCTGCTGAACGTGTCGTCAGAAGGCAGTAGTATAAGCTACACTATGCATGGCAGGAAAAGATAGTAGAGAACATAGCAAGCTGCCTGCTGGTTGCTAAAAACAAACAAACAAACAAAAGTCTTGAAGAAGAGACGAACTAAATTTTGGCCACCTACAAAAGAAATACAGAGAGGTCAAAATCTCTGTTTCAAAATACATTAAAAAAAAGAAACTTATCTCTCACATCACGTGTACTGCCTGTTGAAAGGACTACAGCTGGCAGACAAGTATATTTAGGTAATAAGAAGAAAACACTACAGGAGCACATTTTCAGTAACTTCATTGTACTTGACCTGGGATGTTGTTGTGATTTTTGGTGTGGAGAGGATGGGAAAGGGTGGAATGTACACAACAGTGTCTCATCTGTCTTTGTCTAAAATATCATCCTCTTCCTCCTGAGAGAGGGCTGCTGAGGTTAGTCATAAGTCTAAGTAAGTGAAGGATTCTTGGGGCCAGGAGGTCATCGGGTCACAGTCATCTCTCAGCAGCTTCTTTATTAACTTACACACATGCACACCACAGAGGTAACAGGAAACATCAAACACAAACATCGCACACACAGACTGATGAGGTCGCCCATTCACACTTACAAAGCATCTACTGTCCTTCTCTTTTTGGGGTTGACAATGCGAGAAACTGCCGCAGTGAAATACACATACAATTAGGTCATTAATTATGAAAGAATTTTTCATACCACAGGGGTAGGTATGGTTTTCATGTACCACGGTGGCAGGACTAAGAACGGTTGGGCAGCACAAACACGGTGATGAGGGTCAGAGGTTATTGTTTTACATGAACCTGCCAGACTGCATCATCCTGTGTACACTGACCTGCCTTGGTCATAACACTGATCACCAACTGGTCAAGGTGGAACAAGCAGTTATCTAGTTGATACGTCTACAGTGACTGTCAGACTCCTCCAAAATTGACCAAAAAGTCCAGGGCCTATCTTTGTTTTAGTAAAGATATAAACACAAATGTATATAATGACTTCCTGGTAGTAGAGACACTGTTGAAATGTTGTCAAACTAGTTGCCTACTTGTCTTGTTTTTTTTTATTTGTGTGTGTTTTTGGTGTTTGATTTATGACTTTATCCCTATCCAATCATCGATTAAGTCTCTAAAAAACTCCTCTCTGTGAATCAAAATCTTTCACTCCATTTAAATAATCCCTTCATGCAAAAACAAAAAATGACTTTGATGTAACTTTCCACCATTGCTGCTTCCTCCAGAATGGGCAGATCTATTACAGTCCCTGCCGCTCTCTCCACCCACACCAGTAACACCTCCAACTCTGCTCAAACACTGTAAAACACAATGGAAAGTTGTACTATTAGAATAATTAAGCTAAATATATTTGAACCGGAATCTGACTCTGAAGAAGAACAGTGACAGAAAGCCCCATCCTGCAGGTTGACAGCGTTGGTTCCTTAGGTTTGTATAAACCCCCAGAATTCTAAAGTTTCTGAGACTGTCATCGATACATATGTGTACATATATATATATATAGCTAAATTCTTTTTACATTAATTTTTAAAAATTTTATTATTTCTTTAAAGAGTAATCCATATTGCACTGCTGCTGAGTTACCACACAATTTTCGTTATATTTTGCAGAATGACAGTAAAGCCTCTATCTAACTACACTGCAGTTTTCAGGTAGAAATGCTTAACCATGGCGTAATGAACTGCATTTTTGCTCATATTATTTCCTTTGACATATAAAAAACACCATGCGAACATGTCAACAAGGTTTAAAAAAACAACAACAAAACTTAATTTTCACCAGACCGTGTTTTTAAATGGTAAATTGATGGAAAATGCTACTTTCAATATTCGGCTACAGCCAAAGGGTAAAATTGTCTCCTAGGCTGAAATCAAGTACTTAAATATCATCAAGCAAAAAGAAATCGGGGTGTCATTTGTACATGGGAATTCTATGTACATACTTGAGCTTGACAGAGGTTGGAGCTCTGCATTTCAATCACACAATAACTGAAGCTCGTTTAAAATGGCTGCATGTGCTGCAATTCCACTTTGATTTATGTTCACATTAGACCAGTACCAGGGGGCTGCTGGGAGAAAATTTTGCTTTAAAACTCCTTACACCAACAAAGAAACTAGGTTACAGAGAGAAACCAGGTTTCACAGATAATCAGGAAGTGTACTTACATTTGCTGTTGTAACCTTGTTACTGTAAAAACTGACATACATGCAGGAGGTCAGTAATCGCATTCCTTCTGTCCCAGACCTTATCGAAGCCCCAATTTACTTATTGTAACTGTAGTAATGACAGAAAATGCTGTGTTGGGTTCTTTTGCGTCTTCTTATTAATTAAGGAGCACCATCGTGGAGGCATGTGTTTGTCCCAAAATCATTGCGCAGCATCGTAATAAACTATTTTCAGCCACCAGAAGAACAAAGGATAACAGGAGGAGACAGATGCCTGACAGATGCTTGGAACAACCTACCTGCCAAATACCTTAAAAAAACTGGAGGCAAGTATCCCTGTTGGAGATCCCTATGGCAGCTGGCAAAATGCCCATTCAAGGCGGGCAATATCTGGGTATACTTTTAGACATGCTCCCAAATAAATGTTTAAAATGATTCATTTAAATGTTTTTTTTTGGAAAGCTGCAGGAAGCTTGCACTGCTTGCACCATTCGCATACTATTTTATTTGACTCTGCATTTCTCAGAATCTCTATAATGGAGATGAAGAGAAAAAAAACGCCATGTTTTTATAAACCAGAGTCATCCTTAATGCCTCGGAAGGCCTCACAGTTTTTGAGTGTTTTTTTGCTCCTATCACATTTTTACTATGTCGGTTCATTTCTCACTGAATTATTCAGGTGTAAATATTTTTGTAAAGTCCTGCTCATCTATGAAAACAGCAAAACCCTGAGTACAACTGGAAAAATAAAAATGTCTTCACTGTAACAAAGTTAAAATGCCGTAAATAATAGGGGGGAAAGAAAGAGGAGTGTCTCTGATTATTTATTTTCTAAGAATTGCAAAAAACCTGGAATTAACATGTGCAACATTTTTCCAAGTGCCAACATGCATTACCAATACTGGACATGAACAGGTTCTTCAGACTATTTTACTACGTATATTTTTAATTTTACTCATGGTTGGGTGCATAAATGAGAACAGATTTTTTTGTTTTTTACAGAATTTAGTGCAAATGGTTTATTTTTGTTGACGTTTTCAAATGCGACATGCAGTGTAAAACATTTGTGATGAAATATCTTCATTTGAAACTTCAGTTCCGTTAAGCTGTTTGATGGAACAGCATGTCACAGATGAGTGAAAAGGTAAAATCCAGCATGTCTTTGTTTTTTCAGTTTTTGGCTCTCATAAATGGGGAAACGTTGGTATTTCAAAAAAAAAAAAAAAAAAGATAACGTAACTCCTAACTAACCTCTGAGTGGGTTTTGGAGGCTAAAAGAAAAAGGATGCTCATGGCAAACATTGATTGGTTTTAGGCTTTTTTTTTTGTTTGGTGCATGAAACTGAAATGATAAATTATATTTTTACTATGTGTGACACGTTGTTTGCCTGCATGTGTTGCCTGTCTTCAGCCTGATGAAAAGCTTTGTGCCCGAGAATCGCAGGCTAAGCACATGTTCCTTGTGTATAATACGCATACACACATTAAGAATACATTTGGGTCTGATGGTTAGTCCAGTCAGCCCAAAGATACTAGATGAGTTGGCTACATGTGAACCAAACACACGCTACATTGCACTTAAATGGAAGTGTAATCCCCATCCTGTTTCCAGTCTTCCAAACTTGCCTTAGGTGTTCTGTATTTTTCCTCAAAAATAAATGTGAATGTATGGCTGTGTATGCATGAGCATGTGCGAGTGTGTCTTACCACTGGGGTTGAATTGCATGCAGGAGATGGGTTTGTCATGAGCTGGGAAGTGAGCCACCACTCCTTCTCCATCCGAGTCCTCACTCACCAAGACCTGGAGTGTATACACACACACACACATATAAAGAAAGTCCAAATCATTTTCTAACAATGAGAACATTAAACCCAAAGTGGGACTTTCCCCTGCTCAAGGATTTCTCTTCACATTTTGGTTTGGTCTGATATCATCACCACGCTGAGCACTGTTCTTTCACATCACCGCACTGTGAAGCAGCTGGAAATTATACTCATTTCTGAATGTGCCATTGCCCTCTTGTGGATAGAAAACAATTACCTAAAACAAAGACGAGCGCGTTCTTCAAAATTTCTCTTCTTGTGCAGCATCAAAAAAAAACTTTGGAATCATCATAATCCTGGCTATATTTCATTACTGCTGTTGTTTTAGTCGGAGGCTGCACTGAGACCAGTGTGGACATGGTATGGTTCAACAACAGAGACAAGAATATGGACAAATATACTTTGGCAATGATGTGGCTTTTCACATGTGGCTTTGACAATACCCCATGACAGCGGGTTTTCCCGTAAACAGGCAGAAACTGGCGTCAAATCTAGCATTGGCTTCCTACTTCTGAAACATGCCTAAGAAAATGAAATTACAAGTCACTTTGCACAACTAGAGGCTCCTCCTAAATCTCTGTATGAAGTCTGCTGTCAAGACTGGGACAGATCTAACAAAGGCTGCACCGAGACCAGGAGCTGGCGGAAAAACCCTTTAGTCACAAAAAAAAGATTAGAAATAAGCCTTGACATGAGTCCACTTTGTGTACAAGTGTGTGCGTCTGAGAGGGAGAAAAAAAATACACAAGGTTAAGTTTGGCCCCAGCGTCGCATTAACGATGTCAGGAAGGCTGGCTGAGCATTTTAAAAAGGAGCTAGTCCAAACAAGAAACAGTCTCTAAAAAAAACTAAAAGGGCTCCGTCTCAGACTACAAGCAAAAAAATAAGCAGAGAAAAAAAGAAAAAAAGAAAAAAGGGGGAGAACAGAAAGAACAGAAAGAGGCTGGTGACATGAAGCAGATCACTTTTATTACGGTGCAGGCAGACAATGTTGTTCTGTGAGGGAATCCTGCTGGAGCCCTTTGAAACAAGAGTGTCCTCCAGAGAACCGGGTCCGTCACACAGGGGAGAGTGTGTGTTCCTGTGTGTTATGAGGCTGCTGTTCCAAATAAGGAATTTCAAAGCCTGGAAGAGATGGGAATATCTTGGATTCCCACACTGACATCGGAACTCACCTCTATCATTTTCCTGACTTTTTCCCATTTTTACAAAAGTTACACCCCATCCCCATCCTCAATCTCCCCACCCCTACCTCACCCCCCCCACCCACCCACCCACACACTCTCACTACTCTCTTCACCCTCCATTTCTCCTCTACTCCTAGCCTTCCCCTGCCTCCTTGCCTGGCCTCGTCAGTGTTTATGGCCAGTGTACGGTTACAGTGTGTTGGCTGGTGACACAGTGCAGACCTGCTTCTGAAGGCTTAGGTCCAGCTTATAAGACAACACACTGACTACAGGGCGGATACAGTCATAGCGTAGAGAGCAGCAGAAGGCAGCGAGTGTGTGTGTGGTGACTATATCACTGACAAACTGTACTATGTATGCTAACACGCCTCATTAAAAATGTGACAGCTCCTGCAGTGTGATTAATCATGGTTTGGAGTGGCTGAGGAGAATTAAGGGGATAAAAGCTTTTAGCATTTCTTTTGACGTGAAGGGGAGATCCTGTTGAGGGCAATTGGCACAGTTCAAACTACAATCAGGATCGGACCGTTATATTAGTATGAATACTTACTGTACCCTAGTACACATACTACAAGTAGGTGAGTCTGTGTACTATGATGCAGGAAAGGGACATAGAGCCAAACTCTCCTTGCAAAACTTCGAATTAACCTTTTTTTTTTTTTTTTTAGGATAGCATACATTTATTTAGTGCAAAAAAATCACAGTTTGAAACTTATTACCAGCATCAGACACTTCAAAAGGTTTTATGCTTCAGCTTTATATCTTAGTAATCTCCGAAAAGACACAAGACAAATACAGTTTTACTTTATTTACATCATTTATTTTAAAATTATGGTACACAGCCAGATCAGTTTCTTTAGTTTTGTTTCCCCTAACACTTCACCACTGCCTGTATGGCTTTAGAAGTTAATTTACCTCCAGTAGAAAACTATGTCTGTCTTGGAGCATCCTTCTCCCTGCCATTGTGCAGTTATCAGCCAGTGAGCTAGCTTGGTTGCTAACTCGGGGCTCCAGAGTGGGATCATTTTGGTCACACGAAACCAAAAATCGACCAAGTGCCACTAAACGTTTTCATAGGTTGTACCGGACATTTAGCAGGGGTGTCTCTGTGTGCCCATTTGTGTAGTAGTAGTGCCACACCACTCTGTAGCACTGACACAGCACCGTGTAAACTGGGTATCGTGGACTTGGCTGTTCCTAATTGTCATTCTAAAACAGGAGGGAAAAGCTTTGGTTTGTTTGTATTTCTTTAAATCCATCACAGTCTTCTTGGGTGTTCTTGGGGAATTGTTATGCTGAGGCGAGTGCTGCCATTAAAATGGATATGTCATCTAGAAAAACTAGCAGGGCTGCAAATTAAATCCTGTAAATATTTCACATTTTTAGTGCATAGCTTGACACTTTTGTCTTCTGTAGCGAAGGGGATTTTGAAAATGATAACATGCAGATAGCAGAAGAGAAGGAACTACAATCACGAAATGGGCGGCCCATAGCAGGTCTATACCCACAGCCCACATCTGGTGAGTCAGACTAGGTAGTAGAGATGTGCAGGCTAACCCGCGGGTTGGGTCAAAAAGTGACAAACAACTGTTTGGCCCATGTCATTAATAACTTGAATTGTGTGCAATAGGCTAAGTTACTAGTCCAACTTCCCTTCCTCTCTTTGCCACAAGCTCTCTCAAACACACACAACAGCGGAGGTTAGAGGTCCTCCAATACTGTTATGCACTGTGAACAAATTCATTCTGTTGCATCAGATTTCAAGCGGTATTTACTCTTTAGGTGTCCTTCAACACTGGTTGCTGGTCGGGGTTGGTTGATTGATTAAGGCATATTGCTGCAGGTTGGGTGGTGCAGATTAGATCTGATGATGGGTCAGGGTGGTGCAAGTATTACCTACATGCTGTGTTACATTGCAAGACAGTGATTGTCTTGTCTTGTTGCTGCTAATGAAGGGGCCACTGCGTCCATGCGCGCCGCCATCACATTGAACATGGTGAACCTCTTCAGGTCCTGGTAGGTCTTCAGGGACACAAAGACACACACAATGGTGAAGTCGCAGATGCTGCCCAGAGCTAGCTGCCTGTCTGTACGCCCGCAATAATGTCGTCCCCTCCAGCTGTATGTTCGTCTGGGATGTTGTCATGGAGCCATGTTTCTGTCAAAGCAAACACACAGCAGTCCCTCCACTCTCTGAGGGTTTCTCTCAGCAAATGTAGCTCGTCCAGCTTGCTGTGGAGGGAGCAGACATTGGAGAGTGGGAGCAACGGTCCTGCTGGTCTGGAGGGGTTAGCCTTTAGCCTAGCATGGATCCCGGCTCTCTTCCTCTTCCTTTGTTTACGTATGCACCGTTAGTGTTTCCCTCTCTCTTGGGTAACTGCCGGTGTAGTCTCCGATCAGACTCCGTGTTGGCGCAGCAGGTCCAAATCACAACCAATCGCCTCAATTCCAGCGCCATTCACTGTCCTGACACCCAGCAAAGTCTCTCAGCTGCAAGTTTTGCGGAATGAACGTGTGGGATAGGCAAGACACTGAAAACGTTCACTTTCATTGTCTCCTGAAGGGGCCGCTGCATCTGCATCTTTATTAGTGTTATCACATAATCGGAATGGTGTTTACTTTTATATGCTATCTTTAGTGCTCTGGCTGTTTCCTTCTGTCACACAGTGTTATCTCATCAGATATAATACTGGTAAACATGGCTGATGTCCCATGTCTGAGCAGAACTATGTGGGGCATCAGGTCACTCTAGGTTTGGTGAGGGGTCAACAGATTTTCATTTTCAGTTGCAGCTAGGAGAGGTAGGTCAGTAGGCCTCGGTAAATAAATCTACCGTTGACACTAAGTCAGTAATACATCCACTAGTAGTCTCTGCTAATAGCTCCACAACCGCTGTCAATGCACATTCTCAGCCCTTGTCTACTTTACCCTTAAGAGAGAGGAGCTGCAGCAGGCAGTCTAGTATGTACATTTCAGATGCACCTAAAAAAAAAAAGGCAGGCACACCAGTACAACCAATGGAAAAAGTTAGTCCGAAGTTCTGTAGCTGGGAAGTAACAAGTTGTATATGTACATATAATGTCTTTTCATATTTGACTACTAGTCTCAGAACTGCCTGTAAGCCATGACGCTTTGTTGAGCAGTTTCTATTCTAGCAGGAGAGGGTGTGTGATGAAACACAGCTAATACAAAAGCTTCTACGATTTTGGACTCTCCTAATAGACAAAATAGACGAAGGACAGCTGCCGAGATCCTGAAGGTTTTTTTATTTATATGAGTGAGTTGGAATAAAGTATTTGTACTGTCCTTTAAATCGTTTCAAAAATAATGATTTAGTTGTAACTTGTAACTTTTTAGTGAGAAAAACCTATAAAAATCAGATATAAACAGAGTTAGAACTTAAATTACAACAACGTCTCGCTCTTTTCCAGGCACGCTCGCATCAAAAAGGCAGAATTTAATGTTAAGACCTTATTTGACATATGGTGCTTTCACTCAGCCTTGAGCTTCATGTGAGGTTACAGCTGCCTGTTTACAGAGTGTCTCTCCCACCAGCGCTGCTAAAACAGACAGGGCTGTGGCTAAAAGCTTGGCTGTTAAAATATGCAGCAAATCTAAGTCACACCTTTCAGTGAGTTGTGCAGAGTGAGATGAATGAGCCTGAGTGTGTCTGACCCACAGAAAGAAAAAAAAAATCCAACGTTGGAGATTTTTCTGTTTCCCACCGAGCCGCAAGAGGCCTAAGTTATGTTTACCTGGGTCACACATGACAAGACCAGAGAGGAAAGAAGCCAAGAACAAATTGCAGTCGATTTAATTTTTGGTGTGTGTGTCTATGCATTATACATAAAAAAGGCCCCAGTTGGGGGAATATGTAAGCACTGAAAGTGCAAGTAAGTACAGCTGATGTTCTGTTAAACAAGGATGGTCACCTGGTAACAGTTTCTGGTTAACCACCTTGCAAGATCCAAAAAAGGAACACAGTGAGCTCAGACTAATTTTAGTCTGATGGTGAGATAAGATGCTGTGAGGGAGAAACTCAAGTTTAAATGAGCATAATTAGTTTATCCCTACAATTCAACCGCCACAGTGAAACCGTAAGACAAGACAAAAACACATATGTGCAAACAGAAAATACTGAACTTTGTGCTAAAATAAAAACTTGAAATTATAAACTACTATATATGGGTCCACTCTTTTCATTTGAAAATCTAGTACTAACCCCAGCATTCTAATACACAAATAGGTGACAAATGAGAAGAAACCCCAACATAAAGTGCCTTGTTTTAGTGCTGCTTGTCATGTCTTAATCTTATACATGCGTGAAGCTCTCCTATAGAAATGAAGGACAATCTTCAAAAAGATATTCCCACATTTGGTGTTTTGATGATGGGGATCATGGTAGTGAGCACTGCCGAATATGTCGATTCAAAACTACCCATGGTGTTCTATTGGGCTGAGGTTGTGATGGCAATAAATGGGCTGCCATAATTTTTCTATTGATTAATCTGTCAACTCTTTTACTAATTACTCTAAACAAGAAATTTTCATCCAAAAAAGCAAAATGACTAATTTGTTTTAGGTTAGTTTTATTTTGACACACTGTATCTCATTCTATAATGCAGAACATGTTAAAGAGCAAAAACTAGAATCTCCAACATAGAAATATATGGTAAAAATGACAATGACAATGATAAAAAATAATGAAAAGATCCAATAATTTAAGTCAGTAGTTGGTCCCAGAGTAGGTAGTTGGTATATTAAACAAAGTGCGATATGGACACGGTTGATATTTTTTAAAAGCCCAGAGCAGCTAAAGCAACTTCTTTTCTCCTTGTTGTGTAGTCCCAGTGACTTTGGCGAGTTTGTTTGACGTTGCTGTCAAAGAATCAGGACTTTAGAGTGATAGCACGAAGTGACTGTTCATTAGCATGTACTCTCAATCAGCCGTGTTTCAGTCTAAGCAGAAAAATAGAAACGTGGACAACAGCTTAATGGCAAATTCAGCTGTTCTGAAATACAGTATATGTGAGCACAGAGAGTAGGAGAGAAGTCAATCGATTGAAAGTGTCTCTGTGACAAATAGCTCCTGTGTGTTCTCTCTTCAGGTGAACATGCATTATTCTGTTGCTGCTGTGGTGCGTCATCTTTGCACACTTCACAAGCCATCTTTTCTTCTGCGACATTTTGAAGTACTCCAATACTCTCAAGTCGAACTTTGCGCTGCTGTTATCTAAAATTGTAGCGCTGAGTGCAACCAACCAGTGACAAAAAAAAAAACAACTGACATTATGAACAAGAATTCTCTACTGATACCGAAGAAACACATTACAAACATGACAGTAAACTGAAGTCTTTTAGTAAAAAGTTGAAAACCACATGAAAGATATTGTTGTTGGCACTGATTCAATTATGCTGACTGAGGACGACAGGCCGAGCAACAGCATCAGTTTTTCCTTTAAACTGTGGCCTGTCTACCCTCAGCGACCTCAGACTTACGTTAAGAATTGTGTTTTGGCATTTTTTTGGCACCAGTGTCGTAATATTAATACGGATCAAAGTGAATCACACAAAGCTCCGTTCTATAGATGAATTCAGTTCATCCCAGAAATGTGCAATTTAATTGTTATCTGGATGTACTGCTTTACAGGTAGTTTTATGTTGTATAAAACATCTGTTTACTTGCAGAAACACACTGGTAACCAACAGATGAACCTGCTCTGTTATGTCGTGTCGGTATTATGCACATCATGTTTGTTTATGCAGTAACTGAAATGTTTCAGCTCGAACTCACACACACTGAACCAAACGACCCTCCTCCAGCTCAGTGCTAATGCTTCTTAGCACCTGACTGCAAATGTCTGAGCCGTGTCTTGGAAAGGTACAAGTGTTATAGCTTCTGCAGTATAATACACACACAGCCTTGCATATGTTTTTGTTATCAAGAAATTATTTCAGATTTAAAAAGAAAAGGCAATATCATGCAAAAAGTTCAAATAAATAAACAAATAAATAAAAAAAATGTGAAATTCAAAATGAAAATGGCAGAAACAAATTCATACAAACAAAGCTACAGATGAGTAGTTGATTAAATCTAACAGCAGTGTGAGTGTTTACCTGCCCATATTGCACACACTGCAAATTACTAAATAAAACAATATCACCCCACTCATTTACAATAATGCTAAAAACCTGCCATTAGAAAAAATAATATACTGTGTAGTTTGTATAAATTTCCAGCTAAAATTCATATCAGCATATGTATGCTAATATATTGTGTGTAACTCAGATAATGAATTGCGGGGTAAGAACAGACAGGGTTCTTATTGTTGCCCTTCTCTCAGTTTCTTGAGGTGCCTTTATGCATTTTTTACGGTCCATAAAGGCTGAAACAATTTGGGCTCTGACACGAGTGTGAAAACAGAATCACAGCACACAAATCCAGTATATTAAAATTGGTATTTATGGCAAACAGAAGAAAAGTATTCAACTCACCTGTCCTTCTCCAACACTGTGTGTGTCGATGATGGTGACCACGCCAGGGTTGTGGGGGCTTCGGCGGCTTGCACTGTGGGGTGTGCCCTCCTCATCTGGGGTGCCTGCTGGTATGGTGCCTGCCAGCTGTGTAACAACTTTACCCACCATTGTTAGGCCCGTTTTTAAAGTCTGAAAGAAAAAATAATATCAGAATTGTGTTACAAGTTTCCATGTGATGTATTCTGCATCTAAGTGATAGACTATATTTTGTGGTTCACTTGGTTTGAAGCCTTTGCAGGCCATGAAGATCAGAGGAGCTGCAAAGTGCATCGCTGTGTGCGCAATACCGTGTGTGTGTGTGTGTGTCTGTGCAACACGTTCACTTGATGCCTGCTGATAACTTGTAGTGCTGACGACTTGTAGCACTGTAGCCACAGGAGACACCATGTGTGTGCATGAGGCTCCTCTGTGTCCGCTTAAGGCCCAGCCAGGGTGTCTGGCTCAAACACACCTCTGTGGCTCGATTGAGGGAAATGGATAGTGCTGCTTAAGTGGAGTCTATCTCACCTACTACACTGTCTTAGCCTAATGGAGTCCAATGCCTGTGACTGTGTGTGTCTGTGTGTGTAAGCGCCAAAGGGGCCCCGGAGAGCCTAATCAGGCATTCAGACTAGGCGGCCCTGTCAATACAGCGTGGCGCCTCGCGTTTGTTGGGTCTGAGGATCACCCACTGTCTCTCTTTGCCACTTGGCCAGGCACACTTGCAGTGTCTGCTGCCTGTGTCCATTTGTGTGTATGTGTGTGCAAGATGAGCCATCAATTATTAAGTGAGGCGTTTGGCTCCTAATTGATCAACACTAATGTGTTTTCTAATCACTGCAGTTGTGGAGTTCTTAGTGGTAGTCCAAACAGGGGCTATTGATCTGCTGCTAGGGAGGGGAGGGGGGGGGCTTCTGGATGCAGATCATGTCTGACAAAAACACATACACACTCGGGCAGACGTACACACAGCTACGGCCTGATGTCGCCATCTAAACAAATTACAGCCTAATTTATGTGAAAGGTCTTTCTCAACCGTACGCTCAAGAGTGACAGGCAACAGCACTGATGTGATACACAAATTTACTGTAAGAGAGAAAATTTGAAGCAGCGTCCAACTGGTCGGCCTCGTTGCACTCTCTCTTTTATCTTTCTTATAAACAAAAGCCATTACACTTTAATGCTACCCCCCTCCGCCTACGACCCCCCTTTTTTTGTTTCCATGTCTCTGGACGTCAGCAGTAAGAGCCAGCGTGTCGCGCCACAAGCCAGAAGGAGATACCTTGTCATCCATATTGAGATATATGGTCCTAAATGAGGAGAGGGCAGGCAAGCAGACTGCCTGTCTGCATATCAATACCCTCTGCCATTGTCCAGCCTTTACTATGCTACAGCGCTCTTTTTGATGTATGCCATCATTAGCCTGCTAATGAGACTTCTTTCACACTAGCTATTAGATACACTTGCTCTTTATAAATCAATTAGCCCGTCCTCTGGGACCAAATGGAGAAACAGGCTAGAACCAAAAGAGGAGTTAGCTACTTAGCATGTGTTGGCAAGTGGCTGAATTAGACCAAGAATGAATTTCACTTGGTATCAAAGGGGGCTGTTGGCTGTTCGTGAGCCATCTTAGAGTCGCTCCCCTGCGGAGATGAGTGAAACAAGACCAATGAAGAGAAACAGATTACAGTGGGAACAAACAGATAGGCAGGTTGATGAAGTGTCTCATAAGCTCAGCCCCAGTCAGCCAGGCGGGCCAGGTGGATCCAATGTCAGCACATTTACAGATGGTGTAGGCAGTGCTGGAAAAGCAGCCTTATGTGCTGTTTTATCGGAGCAAAAGCTTAACACAGAGCAAAGGACCTTGCGAGCAACTACAGCAACAACATGAGAACTCACTTTAAAATGTTCAGATTTAAGGCAGACTAGGTTAAGTGCTCATTCATCTTCAATCATGACTCTGTGGTGAGAGAACATAGCAGCATGTTTGTGCTTCTGCAATACAAAAGGTTGTGTTGCATTCAATTTCAACATGTTCCTAAAATTTGTATTGCATTGCCATTCTTGGTAGAGAAAAGAACTCTATGTAAGTTTCCAAAGAAAGTCTCATTTTAGAAATGTATGTTTTTATCCCAAACTGTTCAGAGCAGAACATCTGGTTTGTTGTGCCACTTTCTTCAGTCTGTGTGATTTACACAAGGACACAAACAGGTAAGTGTTAAAAAAAAAAGAAGGGGGATAACATTGCCTGGATCGAGAAAACTTGTCAGAACAAAGCGGCTCCAGAGACATGCTCCCCTGAAGAAAATTTTGTTTTTAATTGTCCATAGTTTGTCTAATTGTAATGCCTTGACAGCTACTTTTGAATCCTGCATCCACCAGCTTCACCTGCAACCCCTAATGTTCTCCTAATCATCTCATTCTGAATATAGCACAATGTGATACACTGAACATTTTATTACAATATGTAACTTTGTCCAATCTATCAAATTTACATGCGAGTTGCCAGATTTCAAGCCCAAATAAACATACATTTGCTTTTATAAATTGCAAATAATGTAAGTCAGAAACATTTTACTGCAAACCTCTGAACTTCAACATTTGAAACTGTAAAAATAGAAAGAATTGTCAATTTTTCAATGGTCCTCGAACTACTTATGTGACATTGGGTTCCATCAGGAAAATGAACCAAAACTATGCTTAAAATCATAATATTTCATCAGAAACATTTCTACATGTCTCATCTAAAAATTCTTCATGAGTAAAATGAATAAAATTGCTCTCCCATCTTTTTGGAAGAACTGTGGCCTACACAGTTAGCTAGCTTGCTAAGCTTGCTACACTGAACAATCCACAACAGTTCGGCCTCTATTTAACATTACTGATGATCATTATTATTAACATTTATTTTGGAGTGTATCTCTATCAACGTTCTGCCACATCCTGCCCTACTTTACTTCTGATTCTGACTCCTGGTGCTAATTTGTTGGTAAGAAGTGAGATGGTTAAGCTAAAAATATCAGAGTCAGAGCCAATCAGAGACAGAGCAGTGGTGGGTCTTTACAGAATGCAGGAGGGAAAAATAAATGCAGGCAGTTCACAGAGAAGGTAAACTCAGGTGTACCTATAGATTTGCCATTTAGATCCCCCAGTAATTTACAACAACATGGGACAAAAACTGTGGGTAACATTGTTCCAACCAAGTTGGCTGCTTCTCTGGAAAGATAAATAATATAAGACGTATTGGACATCAACATCCGAACGCATCTATTATCAGGCTTGAGTCGTGTTATAATGTTCCTTTACATGTCAGTGGGTTATTTGCGTCTAGCACAAGCTGTAGTCATATGAGACCTGTTCAGCTCCCCTCAGCTCCTCTAAACACAGATGGATGGACCTCCAGGGCTACGGAGAGCTGCCTAAACGTGGACAACTTGACAACAGAGCGAGGCGTGACCGAGTATAAACATTAACTGTTATAAACTAAGTCTGAAAACCTAACGTTGCGTGTTTGGCTTGAATGTACAGCTGAGGTCAATTATAAAGATACCGTTTATATTTTCTTTTAAAAACATCTTATTTTGGAATTTAGAAATATGCTCGTTCTAACCTTTTGTAACAACAGTGGAGCATTTTAGACATGTTTTTATTAAGTGATTTTAAAGTACGTTGCAGTACCTGACCTTTTACAGAAAAAAAGAGGGCTAATAAACCATCATCTGCATTTCTTTCGTGCTCCCTAGACTGCTGCCCACATGCTGAGCTGTGACCGTAAACATAAGATTTGCATCAAACCATGAATTTTCTCTACCACCTCCCCAAAACAGTTAGGAGAAACATCTGGAGAATGCAAACTAGCCGCTGATTCCACTGCAGCACAGCCAGACTCGCCTCAGATTTTACACTAAACATGAAAAGCACACGATGCTCACTATTTTATATAGATCTGATTTTTCTATAATCAACAAAATAGCTATTTCTGAAAAAAGACAAATTCCAAAGTACCAAACCTTGACAATGGGATGATACAAAATAAATATGCTGGAGTTTGTAAAGTCCAACTTACTCATGTAGTGCAAAAAGCCTAATGTACATACGTAAGAGAGACAATTCACAACATAGAACAGAAAGCATTTAAATCTGTGTCTGGATTGTCACTTACTTTGGCAGCATTAATCACTGTGGCTGTATAAGACTGTGCATTGTCACCACAAGCTCCCCCACGAGACTGGTGACATCTGATCAACTGTAAAAAAAAACACACACACACACACACACACACAGATTTACAGATAAATGCAAAACAAATAGTGGAAATCTAATGAAAACACTGTACATAAAGAGACATTTTTTGGGAGAATTAAGAGATTCAGACATTCAAGAGGCTCCCCTCTTCGCTCTTTGGAGGAAATTGGTTTTGCAATCAAAGAAAGGTTGCACAACCAGACAGCCACTGGACTGATTTCATTTCAAATACAATATCACTTGAACAGTTCTCTCTCTGTATTACTCTTAGTGTTCAACAAAATAGATTTAGTCATTTCTGGAAAATCCTGACACACAAACAGTGGCCCCATCTGTCAATTACACATTAAAAGTATGTCAGAATGCACAATGGAGCATTCTGGTTATTGTAAATACTTAACAATCCCATTAAACAGAAACCTCTTGTACATCTGTTGATTTTCAAAATGTTATCATCTCTAGTGGACTCTTTTAGGAATGAGTTGTTTATCCAGACAGATTAAAAAGGCAGAAAACAGATAAAATGCACTTTTTGGATGGTAAATATGTCGCTTCTCTGATAAGGGACTTCTGCACTGGATGAATGTGTGTGTGTATGTGGAGACTACCTTGTTCTCAGCATAGGCAAGCCAGCGGCTTCCCAGAGCTATTGGATTGAGGCTGGGGCCGGGGCAGGGATAGCAGCCTGAAAACACACAAAGACGGTCACAATAAGGGGGGAAGCAATGATGAGAAAACACAAAGGAAACAGAAGTTCATACACATTTTGGTAAAAAAAAAAAAAAAACCCACATGATCCAAAGTTTGCCATAAAACAGGAACACAGAGCCTCCTCTCTGGAGAGTGTCTGTAACTATCTTAAACCATTAATGTGTTTGTGGGGAGTCTCTTCTTTGGGAAGACAAATGGGGGTCTAATGAGGGTGACGTGTCTGTATGTGTATGTGAGCATATTATGACCTAATGGAGACTGTGGTACCAAATAAATTGAGGATGGCTCCTCTGCTGATTGACCAACACAATAATCTCTGTGGGCACGCGCACACACACACACACACACAAACACACCAACACACTGGCACCCATTTACACACAAACATTGCCAGTGCGATGTCAGCAGATGTAAAAATAGTAACCAATAATCCTAAATGACAAACAAACCCCTGCAACAGATAAATGTCTTGCACATTATAAGAACGTATTTTTCTCTTCCCACTCGAACAGATGTGGAGGTAAACAAGAACGTGGAGCAAACTGCTTTGACTTGCACCAAAACTGAAAGGGGCGCCTGTCACTAGTGCTGCAAAACAGAATCAACCAAAACCAGGCCAACATGTGCTTGTAAACAGACAGGAGGGATGATTGATTTTGTCATAAATATCTTTAAATGCAAGCAGATACGCACAGTGACAGTCTTTCTGTTTCCAGTGTGTGTAAACACACAGGCAGCGAAATGTTGATCCAATAATGATCGCACCCGCTGCGCTCAAGAACACAGGCGTTTGTCTCACACACACATACAAACACACTTAGCTAATGTAAGTGCACGGAGGTGTAGGGGAAATGGCTTGCTGACAATAATTTAGTGCTCAGGGAGCAGATGAGGTGGAGGCAGACAGTAATTTAGTGTGCTGTGTTGGGGAAGGGGCTGATGTGGGGAGAGGGTGTGGGGGTTGAGGTAAGCCACAAGGGCTGCTGGTAACGCCAGAGAAGCCTTTTGTGCCTCTCCAAGGCCGAGGGGAGCCCAGGCAGTGAGATAACATGTGTTTGACATCCTGGGTGGAGAGCAAGGGGCTGAGTGGGGAGCGGAAATAGACATGATGAGCAGAATCAAAGGAACACAGAGCAAGATTTAGGCTTTTCAAAGCTGACCCCTGAAAGACCTCTGTGGCAATGGCTGATCCTTAGTTTTAGACAAATAAAACCTTTCAAAATGTTATCAGAGAATCTAATGAATTGGGGGAAAAATGCAAAAGAAAAGTCATCTGCTCCTACTTCTTCAATGAAAACAAGTGCTACTGCCAAATTAGTGACTGTCTTATTGCCACAATCTGTACATAGCTCCTTTCTGAACAAAATCCTTTCTTCCAGCAAATATGCACTTGATAGCCAACATAACAAACTGCCGGCCACAGCGCGCACAATTAATGCAAAAAAATCTGCAAAAAATAAGTAATGATATACATAATAGATATACGTCAAATAAAAATACACAGTTTTAAGCAGAGTGGTGACTATAAAAATAAAAAAAAAGACAGCAGCAGCAGATCTGTGAAAGCAAACATGATTGTGAGGCATGAAAGTATTCTCAGTACGAGTTACAGCCAAAAGTGTATAACAACTGATCTGCGTGCGTCAAAACCAGCTTACAAGTGGCTCAGTTTGTCTGCAGGTCTTAAGGTCAGGAGCATTGGATAGGTTGGTGCACTGTCTCGACATTACACTAAATGTTTTTGGTAATGGCCGTTTTACTCCACTTGTATGATTCAGATAAAGAAAATCCGAAATCTAATTAGCTGAGGAGCTTGGAGTTCTCAAATCATCCATCTCCAAATATAAGGCCAGTGTATCGGTTAAAGAAAAGGGTAGCATTATCTTTCCTATCAAACAAGCCTTGGGGCCAGACGGGGAAATTGCTTTGCTAAAGCACAGTTTCCATAGAAATCAAACGACATAGACGGCGCAGCTGTGTGTGTTTCAAAGTGCTGTGAGGGTGGAAATGTGTAAAATGATTGAAAGCCTTTATTCTGGAATAAAAACATTTACAAACTTGTTGAGAAGCTCAAGGATTTTTATACTGTGAAATGAAGCAAAAAAAAAAAAAAAACAGGATGTGATGGTACCGTGGGCTGTTTAAAGTGATTCCATTCAGGAAAAACCTAAAGTTGCAAAAAGGGAGAGTGTACAGTGATTTGGATCCCAAAATAGCAATTTATAGCTCTGGTGTTACACAATACACAAGAGTGTGACTATATGAGGTCCTGCTGCGCCAACACTGAATGAAGGTCACAAATTCTGACACAGCTCAGCAGAAACTGTTCCGATGAAATCTGATAGCTTGGCAGTAAAATAATACAATTTTACATGCGAGTACAATCCACGTTAAGTTTTATTTTGTGATGTTAACAACAATTGGTCATTTGCAGCTGCCCCCTGCTGAACCACACCTGTGTCCAGCAGTTTGCCAAATGCATGTTCAAGCTATAGAACCATCCATCCATTATCTATACACTGCTGAATCCTCACTAGGGTCCATAGACCGTAATAAAAGATGGACGTAGCAACTGGCCCTGAAAAATGAAGCCAACCCGGAAGTGTCAAAAACCTGCAATATCACTACGTCCGCTAGTTGCTGGCTCCACAAAGCCCTGGCTCCCATAGACTTGAATTTGAAAAGAAGTGATCACAGATCACGAGATACTGCATTCCTACAGCTCAGGATGTTTTTCTTATTAGTTTTCAAAGTCAAATTCAGAGATCAGGTGGCCAATCTGAAAATAAATCAATACTGAATTTTAAAAAAATCGTCAACATTTTGCGGGGCAAGGGGCGTGGCTGGCTTGATTGACAGTTGGCAGCGACGATGCAGACGAAGCGAGCAGAAGG